GGGAACATCCCAAAAGGAAGGAATTGCTAGGAAAAGAGATCAAAGAGAGTCGATGGAACAACACGACAGGAAATATCACATCCGATTCACCACTGGAGGGCACGGGATTTTCGTCCTGATCTTCCTCCATCTAGGGAGGGAGGGAGGGGAGAGGAGGGGAGCCAGGAGGAGAGGGGAGGGGAGAAGAGAGGGGCAGGGAAGGGCAGGATGCTCGAGGTTGTTTCTGCGGTGACATGTGCCGGTAGGATGAACAAGTCAAGGCTGTCGATGGAGGACCTCTTCCGAGAAGCGACTGGGGAGAGATACGATATCTTCCTCCGTCATGGCAAGGTGCCTCCCTGCTCCCTGCTCCCTGCTCCCTGCTCCCTGCTCCCTGCTCCCTGCTCCCTGTTTTCGCGTGTGCCCTGCCTCCTGTTCTAACGAGCTTGCTTTGCCCTCGGGCCAGTCGTCGGACCCAGCGGCTGAGAGCTACGTCAAGTCGTGGCTGCCGATGGTGGTCGAGGAGTTCAGGTCCGAAGTGAAAGAAGAGGTGGAAAAGCCTGCATGGAATGTCCTTCGCGATGTTGAGCCCCGCTCTTGTGCGATCAGATTGCGAGCATGTTGGCGAGTAATGGGAGCATTACGGCGGACAACTATGATGTAGAGGTCAGGAGCGAGTCTGCCTTGCTACCAGCGTCTTGTGACACGATCGCAGGTCGTGCAGAAGAGTTACGGGCAGGGACACGAGACCATGTGTAGAATACATAGAGAGAAGAAGAGCCCAACCGAGGTTGTACAACAACCTGCACCGGCATCGTCCTCGTCCTCGTCCTCATCCTCGTCCTCCTCGTTCTTGTCCTCGTCGTCTTCGTCTTCTTCCTCGTTCTCTTCCAATCTCTTCCTCCTCCACCGCCACCACCGCCATCGCCGCAAGCCTGCACATCCAAGTGACGCAAAGTGCAACAGCGATCAGCTGATGTCGACGATCCCATAGTTTACAACATCTTGTACTGTTCAGAGCTCAATCACACCCTCTTCGTCAGTTTTCCAGCCGCGTCCTCCCACAACGTGTTCCGGTGAGCATTACGAGGCCATGGAACGCGTTCTTGTTTCATCCCGTGAGGTTCATTTCCTCTTGTCACTCAGGACTTTCGACTTGGAGGATGAGAAGCTCTGTCCAAGAAGATGGGCAGCAGGGGACAAGATGAAGTGCAAGCGAGTGACTACTGCCCTGCCGTTCCTGTACCGACTCCATTCCCTTCATTCAAGTAATCCCGCATAGCCTTGCTCTCTCTCCCTCCTTCCCTCCCCTTCCCCAATTCCCCTTCCCCTTCCCCTTCCCTTCCCTCCCT